AGGTGATATAAACCTTATGTCAATTATTACTTAGGCTGATATCTTTGTGAAGAGAGCTGGGTGTTATAAGTCCTCTCATTTCACTCCCAATATTTAAAATGTGTTTTGTGTCCATGTTACTTGAGATGATGCTAGTGGGTATGGTAGACACCCAAGTCTCCCTTGTCAGCACCGCACATGTCGGATTATGCTTAGTTACTTTCTAGCAATCTTACTTGTGCTCTCCTAAAACAGCTTGCAGTGACTGACTTTTTTCAAACATGTCTTGCTAATGAAGGTAATGTCCTTGTACATGTATGGTGCTGCAGGTAACAGCTGTTGAAACAAGAACTTTGTTCTCTGTGTTGTCTTTTAATTTTATAGTTCTGCATCTTTCCTTCATCTTCCTGCTCTCTCTGTCCTTACACCTTCCCAAACTATTACCTCATTTCTGAGCTTGTCTGTGTAATCTGTGGATGAGCAATTTCTTTTTGCACTTAACAGGTTAAAAGTGAATGTGTATGTTTCCTTGGTCATGTGTTTCTGTCTATGGAGAAATTTGCTTTTCCTGTAGGAGGACTGGACTTTGACTAGTTGTTTGGTTGTGGTTTATGGCCTGATTGAGGTATTGCCGATGACTAAATTCAGTAAGTGGAACATGTTGATTTTCTATTTATGGTCATAAAAATTGAGAAATCTACATGCTGGCTTGACAAAATACATCTTTGCAGGGTGAGACCTTTTCCAGGACTGCTTCCTGTTCTTGGTGTCTAACCTCGGATTAGTAAGAGGTCTGGGATTTATTCTCAATGGGGCATTTCGTCAGATTAGTCCTGGTGTTACTGCTCATTGCAGACTCACAGATGTGCAAAGGTAGGGCCAGGCAGAAGAGGAGCAAGTTACCTCTTGCCCTTTCCAGGCACTGTTAGCCAGCTGTGGGGTTCTTGCTGGAAAAGGAAAGTTTAAATTGATGCTAATGGTGGGATTGATAATCCAGTATAGTCCTCTTCCCCAGGGCTAGGATGTACCTTGTATAGCTTCCATTAGCACTCTCTAAAGACTGTTCACTTTGAGCCTGCTAGAGCACTTATAGGGGAGAGGAAGGGAAAACACCTGCAAAATTGGAACAACCAACCAACCCCCACACTTTTTTTTTCCTCACCACCTTTGCTAACTACTGCAGAGATCCAGATCTGCCTTGGAGGAGCTTGCTGTACTGGGAGTTGCTGTCTCATGGAAAGGCGGTATTTCATCTACCTGCAGAGTCGGCAACCACAGGCCTTCCTTTCCTTCCTAATTCTGTGTTCTGTTTCTGTTAAGCACTATCTCCTTTTATTATCAAAGGGAAGCTTTCTGAGAGGTGTCCCTGAGCGGGAGGAGACAAACAGAGAAAGCTTGATGGATCTGAGTTCAAGGACATGACTTTGATACCAGGAACGAGGGATTTCAAAGTGGAGCTTCATCTTTATGAACCTATGAAAATGAATGATTGCTGCCTGCTGTCTGAGTGTTTTTTGTTTGATCTGCATGGATTTATTAAGTAGCAGGGGAGTTTTCAAAGATGACTGTCTTCAGCTGGCTGGCTGCTGGGAAGCAATTCAAAAATGATGTTGTTCCATCCGCCGCTGTGTGGTGTTCCTCGTGAAGGCCGCTTGCTGCATTGCAGATGATGCTGCCATCATCATTTTTCTGCTGTGGTCACTCTGTCCATGAATGTGATCTTACTTGCACCAGGTTTCAGAACTCCTGCCTTAGGTTAAGTGAGGGATTAGTCTGTGAAATTTTCAGTTAAATAATCAGTTCTTTTTTTTTTTTTCTTTCTTTCTTAATCCCTCTGCCCTTGAGTTTTAAAATAACCTATGGCTAATGAAAAGCTATTGATTCTCTGTCTGCATCTCCCAGCATCTTCCACAGCTATAATGAGAAATTGGAGCTTTTTCTAGCTTCAGTGACTAGCGACTGTCACAAAAAGGGGGAAGAAAGTAGAAAAAAAAATTGTATGCATCATAGATGCATTTTTAATATTTTTTTCCCTGGAACTTTTTGGCTGTTGTTACATCAGGCTCTGTTTCGAACTTGCATATGTTTTAAATTAAATATATATAAATAAATGTTGGAAGGACAAGTTATCTTTAGAACTCTCTGTTCTGTGGATGAAAAAGCTAAGTTGTTTTTTTTTTTTTTTCTGTACATAATTTTACTGTGTAACTAAAGAGGTCTAAAAACATCAAAAATGAAAACAAAACCAACTCCCTTTGAGCTGAAAGTTTTACTGTAAATGGAAGCTATGGAAAGATGATGAGTTGGCTGCTTACTGTAAGAAGCCCAATACTTTAGGAAAATCTATTGTTTCCTTCTCAGAGAGAAATGGTCTGGAACTGATACAAGCTTGTGATTTTGTAGGTGAAAATGGCTTGCTTAGTTTTTGCAGATTTAGTGTGACGAGTGTTCTATTAATTTTTTTGCTCTGCTAGAAGATTTGCTTTACCAATACCCTATATCAGGGAGTGGGTGGATTGGGAATCGGGGAGTTGGTTGGATTGTATCAGAGAGTGGGTGGGATTTTATTCTTGTGCCATTAGTACAATTAAATTTTTTCGAGCTATGCTAAGCTAAATTTTTGTGAACGAATCAAATACTGCTGCTGTCCCTCTTGCTTTGGGAATGCTCCTGGGTGGCCCGTTGCTCTGTGGCAGCCTCTCGAAGGCCGCACCACATAGACATCTTCAGAGCTTTGAGTCTGGTTCTGCCCTTTCAAACTGACCCTTCCAAATGGCTTTTGAGAGTGCAAGATGAAGCCCCAGTGACTGGGCTGCCTGTTCTCAGCAGGGTTTCCAGCATTATCCATGCCGAAGCTTTGGAGCTAATATTTACTGAGACGTGTGTGTACTTTGGTTTTGTTTTTCCCCGAGAAGATTATGTTGGTCGATATTCTCTGGTGCAAACAGTGATGGCGGAATAAGTAGCGCTCTGCCACTAATGTGGGGTTCTGGAGGGACTGGTTTTCTTTTATATTTTTGCTGTGAGTTCCTGAGAGATGCGAAATCTTTCTATCGTTTCTAAACTCTATTGGGACATAGTCATAATGGAAAATGAGTTTTAAAGTTTTTGGTAAAAATTTGAATATAGCACTTTTTTTTTTCTCCCCCCCACAGATTAGATCTTCTAAGGTATAAAGGTTTGATATGCAAGATGCTTTATTTATGGATTACTGAATCTTTCTGTTTTAAGTGCAGACTTGATTAAGACTTGAAAGGTATCTCCTACCTAATTCCCTTCACTCTCCTCCACTCAGTCCTCATCTCTTTCATAAATTTATAAAGCCCTTAAAATCGTTTAGGTTTCCTATCACTATTGTTCCCATTGAAAATCTGCTCTAGCTCGTTTTTGATAGTTGAAAATACTTAAACATCAAACCTAAAGTTACTTATGGTCATTTTAGACTTCGATATTAAAATTTTCCCTCAGGTTGAAGAACTTCTCTTCATCTCTGGTGATTACTATTCATTGTTCCCATTGAAAATCTGCTCTAGCTTGTTTTTGATGGTTGAAAATATTTAAACATCAAACCTAAAATTACTTATGGTCATTTTCAACCCGAGGGAAAATTTTAATACCGAAGTCTAAAAACTTTTCTTCATCTCTGGTGATTTCTATTTGATATGTGTTTACTGAGAGCAATCATATCTCCTCTCAGCTTTTGTTTTGCCAAGCTAAATGAGCAATTCTCTAAGCTGTTCTTTGGTAAAAGACTGTTCTGCTGCCCTGATCATCCTAGAAACCTAAAATTGCATCTGTTTTTGGTTTGAATTCACTTTTTGTTCACAACTAACCCAGATGACAAAATATTCAGGTGAGGTCTTAGTGCTTTGTGCAGATGATACTGCTACTTTCTTATCTATTTGAAACAGTATCTAAGAAATGCATTTTGCTTTCACGAATAAATCATGTTTCTTATGCTTGGTAACCAGATCCTGCTTCTCGATAGAAATCATTTGGAAAAAGCCCCTACTTGGTAGACAGCAGCTTGATTAACTAAGAATTTTGTCGGCTGAGACCACCAAAGATTATGCTTTTCTGGGGACATGCAAACCATTATTAAGTACCTACTAAAACTCTTATTTGTTTTATGGCAATATCATAAAATAAATGTTTATATGAAAGATGCATGAAGAAATTGGATGTCATGGCCTTGTCTATAGTGTTCTGTGAATAACAGGCCTGGTTTGGGGCCAGGGAAGCATGGACATTCAAAAGTGACAACTGGTTGGATTTAAACTAAAGGTTTGAAACCTTGTCACCCCCTAGATCTTAAACCTTATCAGATCTAGAGCTGTAGCCAAAGTAGGGTGGGAGGGGCCAACTACTACTGCCCAGGAAGAGGGATGCAAGGAGCCCTTTGGCAGCACCTGAGAGGAGGCAGGGGACACACAACTTCAGCAAAAATGGGGTGTTTGTCCAGTCTGACAAAAGTGAATAGCCAAGTGCTGTGCTATCTCCCTGGATATGATCTCCCCAAGATACATGTTTTGGGGTAAAGTTGATTCTAGAAATCTCCAGTAGCTTCAGTGGAGCCAAGATCTTAACGGTTGGGGAAACCAAGCAAATCAAATGGGTGATACCAAATGAAAGACCCCACTTTTGCTGGCCATCATTCTGTCTTAAACACTTGCTCGTATTTTCAAGTGGAATAGCTGTTCTGTCTTTGGCTCTTTTTATTTTGTGTGAACTACATTGGATTAGTGAAGGCTTTCCCTTAGCTTCCAAAGGCCACAAAGAAAAGGAAATTTGTTCATTTAGTGTTTGTACGTGGGTGGCTTTCTTATACTTTGAAGAGGCTGGAGATGATAACTAAGTCAGTTACTCAAATTGATTTAGCTTCTTTTATTTATTTCCCTCTTCCTGTAGACTACAGTTCTGCAGGATGACTACAGTCATTGTTTATCATGGAATGCAATTGTAGTTGTTATCATGGGATTTAGGGTTAAAGTAGAGGAGACTTCGGAGGAGAGAGTTAATATAAATTTATGAGATATTGCTTGCATAAATAACAAAAACAAACATATTATTTATACCCTCCCATAGCACAGTTACCTAGAATACATACAGTAATACTATATATGAGCGTTGTTGCCATTCCACTATACATAACTGACTTGTTCTTCTGTTTTATCAACTTCATTTTCTGTGAGCAGCAGTGTATCCAGCAGAATGGCTGATGATGCTTGGATGGGTGAGCTCCGCAGCCTCATTGGGCTCTGGTACATAATGGGATTAATCCCATTTCGCATCCCATGCATAACAAGGAGCTTGGAATTTTCTGCCACGGAATTTCTGAAAGAGATTCTGCTGGAGCATTTCCGAAGGGCCTTGACAGGCTTTGTGGTCCGATAGTTGCAAGTGATATACCTGCTGAAAGCTTCCCTAAATGTTTTATTAAAGAGTGTATAGACAAGAGGGTTCACCCCTGAAGATACATATCCTATCCAAACAAAGATTTCCATGAGCTTTTGAAAAACTTCCTTGTTGCAGGAGTTGCACAGGACTGAACTTATGTTTGTGATAAAGAATGGGCACCACATAAGCAAGAAAAGGAAAAATACAATCCCCAGAACTTTTGAAGCCCTCTGTTCGTTGTTGATAGTTTGCATAGACTTCCTCCCAATTGTAGACATTCTGCAGACAGGCACATCACTGGACAAAGGCTTGTCCTTTCTGGAGCCATTTAGCATAGCCACCTTTTCTGGTGAGGACGCAGGTGTTACGTCCCGCTGAAATACCGTGGACACTGTTGACCAAGTGAAACGCTGGGGGGACTTGTTGATCAGGTAGGCTTTCTTGCGTAGCACTTGGATTGTCAGAAAATAAGTGACTATCATGATAGTGAGGGGAATGAAGAATGCAGCCACTGATCCGTATAGGATGAAGTCACGAAAACGATCGGGCGTCAGGGCGCACGTTATGTTTGTGTGGTTGCCGTTTCCATCTTCGATGCCTCTGATGGGGACTGGAATAGCAATGCCTAGAGAAGAAAAAACAAGTGGTTCAGCATGGTATCTGCTTGCAACCTCCCTTTTGGACCTCAGGCTGCAAGGTCTGTAAGGGAAGGTGATTCCCAAGCTCTGGAGCGGGCGCAGAGTGACTGAAAGAATATGAGTTTCTGGGAACATCAAGTGGATAACTTTGTGAAAGCTGACAAATTATGTTTTAAGAGAATGGCCTTTTAAGCTGAGATGAGGCCTAACCCTTCATGGTTTAGGAAGCAGCATAAGATTGCCAAGGTCCCATGTCTCCCATACATTGCTTTGATTCTAGTTGCGACAGTTAGCGCAGCTTTTTCTCCAAGGAAATGAGTTTTCCTAATGTGGTCTGCTTAATGTTTTTTTTTTTTTTTTTCCCTCCGGGGTAAGCTTCGCATATTTTGAAGGCCAGTTGTGTAAAATTGTGTGAATACATAAAACTTGTTTTTCTCTCTTAACCACATCAAGTAATCCGACACAGCTGTTCTTTTTTTTTTCTTTTAAACTCTGCTTGACTTTGAAATAGTTAAATAGATGCCAAAATTATGTAGTGTATTTTTGAGATGGATTTGTTGTTTAAAAGTCTCTTGGATATTTAAGAGTGTTTAAATGAGGCTAGCTAGCTAGCTCTGTAATTCACTGCTCGTTTGGAAAAAAAATGTTAGCAGTCTTGTCTTTTTAAATGAATTTTTTATAACCACTAAATTACAGTCAGCACTTCATTTGCCAGCAGTCTGACATTACAACAAAAACAACAGGTTCCTTGCTGTCTGGTGAAGGTTATTCGTGCTATGTTTCCTGATACCACTTAATGGGGTCTAGGGATTTACTGTATTCCTCGGCTACCTGGCTTACTGAAGTTGGTTAAAAGCAGCAAGCAGCAAAATGGTCACCCTTCAGCCACTTGACCCCTTCCTTAATAAGAAGGACACCTTCAGACACAGCAAACATTTAAAATAAGGACTGAATCAAATTGGCTCTTGAATTGGAGATTGGGGCTGAACAGTCACTCAGCTGCAGAGTGCTTTTGTGATAGAAAAAAGAAGTGAAAAAATGCTGCGCTGATTAATAAGTCAGATAGTAATAGGTCAGCTTTTAAGTGTCTTGTCTTGCTAGCAGTTTGATTTTTTTTCTGTGATAAAATAGAGATTTTTTTCCGTCATGATAGATCTTCTCTGTTTTTTTTTTTTTTCCATGCTGGAATTTTTTTAGGCATGTATACCCAGGTCAAGAAGCTGGATGTGTCCATGGTCTTGTGCATTATTGGTCAAACTAATTCAGAATAACTTTGTTCTTTCCCTTGGCACCAAGAGCATACAACACTCTGCCCATTGCTATGTGCAATGCAGGTTAGTTATGTGAATTAAGAGTTCTTACCCCCGTGGCTCACTTATCTGATGTCTTTAAATCTTTAAATTCTTTGAATGGCTCTTTAAAAAAGAATTATTAAAGAAAGGTTAAATGCCACATGCAGAACAAAGCTAATAGAAATGGATATACATTTGCAACTTTCATATAAACTTTTTTATTTATATTTTGGTTTAAGAATTAGACTTTTCTATATTGTCAGTAAGCATGCCAGTAAGATGCATTTTAGTAACATCTACTTCAGGCTTAAAATGGTGTTTGGACAAAAAGACAACAGGTGGGTTCCGCAGGAACATGAAATTTTGCTTTCACCGAGACATGCTACCCATGCAGATGTGTTCCCACTGTGCAGAAGAATGGTGATTTCCCCTCAGCCCTTGACCTTTGTAATAGGCCTGACTAGGAGCATCTGTTGAGAAGGATTTTTATGACATAGCCATCTACGACCTAAGAGGTGAATTTAGGCCATCCCAGGTGACAGTCTGCTGACCCACAGTAATCAATACTACTTTGGCATTTTCAGTTTTGCCCAGCGTTCTACTATTGCTTTGGACATGAAAAACTTTTACATTTCCTTTCTGATCTCCGAGTCTCACATACCTATTGAAATGAGCCAAACGATGGTGATCTTGATGACTGTTGTAGCCCACGAATTGTACTGGCTGGCCTGGATCGGCTTTTTAATCGCAATATAGCGGTCTAGTGAGATGGCACAGAGGTGCATGATGGAAGCTGTGGAAAAGAGGACATCAAGGAACAGCCAGATGGGACACAGAGCAGTTGGAAGAGGCCAGGAATTGTCTGAAAGAGAGCAAAAAACTCATTATAGTTGAAGCATTCCGTGAGTCTTCATAGTATGGCTTTTTCTTGCCATCAGTAACTCCGAGAAAATCTTAATGCTCAGTGTCCCTCCCTCAGTGGTATTCTGTCGTCCTTGATAGCTCCTTGGCATCATGGTGGTTTTACTCACAGCAGTGCCAGCGTGCTAAGTGTATTCTCCCTACTTAAAAAACTCAGCTGTGCTCAATCAGTAGGTGTGTTAAAAGTCCTGCTAGAGAACTGAGTTCTCCACTGAATCACGATTTCTAGCCAGTCATTATTTTTCAATCTCCCTGATCTCAGTAAATGCACCTGCCGACTAGGACTGCTAAGTAGTCTCGAGTATTATCATGCCCTGTCTCATCAATGGAGTAATCTTGCAGTAATTTAAGATTAAAATACTTTTTTTTTCAGAAGTGACTGGTGTATGGAAATAATATAGTGATGTCTTTACCTGACTTACTAACCCCAGAGGACTCATATATGTGCAGAGTCCCTAGTGGTCTCCCCTGCTCTGTATGTTTGGAAACCTCTCCTGCTTGTAGGCAAGGAGAATGGATGGAGCCCAGAACTGAATTCACTCCCAAAGCAGCAGGCTCCAGGTGATGCAGGAACTGAGGCAAGAAGGGAGGAGGTGGTTTATTTCAAAAGCATTAACCAGTAAATTTTACTATTTAGTTGCACCTTTTCCAAAATAATATCAGGCAGTTTAAATTATGCTTCCAAAAATTCTTGTTGTACGCATATATAACAGAATCAGAATTACTATATTATGAAAAAGTTGCTTGTATTTAATTTTTCTGTCTACACTTTTAATAGCCTGTAAGTTATGGTGCCTTTTTAAATAAAAAGAAGGAAAACCAAAACCTCTTAGGGGTTCATGCAACCAGTTATAGAACTCAGCAAGACCAAAAAAAAAAAAAAAAGTCACTTAAAAGAAATAATTGATCTGAAGGACTTGTTCACTCTAGAAAAAAAATAGAAATTCTTCTTTTGCCTTACAGTGAAGAATTAGTTAATACAGATAAAATGTGAACGATGGAAAGCATGTTTTACATCTTGAAGGATGTTCTGATAACACTGCTGAATTTCAGTTCAGCAATTAATGCATTCTGTCAAGAATATGTGCACGCTGCACCCTGAATTAGAGCAGCTTTGCCTTCTGGAGCGGATTTCGGTATAATAAATTCTTTCCTTTTGCAATTAATTTGCTCTTTGCAGAACAGAACTGTCAAATAGTTAGGAACAGAAGAGTGTTTTCCTCATTTTGACTACAGATATATTTAAATGGCTATCTAATGCAGAGCGATGCAGTGTATTTTTATGAGTCGTAGAGATTTTGATAGCTGATGACTGCAACTTAATAGAGAAAGCTTTTGTGGGTTTTTTTGAGTTATTTTCTTGTGAAACAGAAGGCAGAAAGTTATTGCACTCATGAATATAGCATTTTATAGTGTTATCTTGCTGTGTATGTGATTGTATTTCTAATCCAAACAAAAGTAGCTGATAACAATTGAAGGGTATCGGTAGTATTTGTACAAAATAACTGCTGTGGAACTCTGATACCTGTAGCTCTTTAGGAATCACGTAGCCGTCTAGGATTCATACAACGGTGTAATTTGCTTTTAGCCATTTTGATTTGTTTGCACACACGTGTGTTAGAAATTCTCTGTTGGGCGTTTGAGAAATGTTTCAAGCTGTACTTTTGTTTTCCTAGCGAGTGCGTGTTTCACTATTTGTCATTTCTTTTCTTTCAGGGGTAAAGATGAGATACTTTAGAATTTAGATACCTTGTAATTTAGACTGTAGGTGTAAAGAATAGCTACTACCAAGTGCTGATAGGGAGCTCGTAAGAGGATCCTACACAGTTTGGGCTGTTAGTATGCTAACTCTGCCATTGTAGATGTCCTCTTTGGTGGAGCAAGCCAAAGCATTACATGAGTAACGGCGCAGAGCAAGATTCTGTAGATACTTCTGCCTTGGGAACTGAAATGCTTTTTCCTTGGGAGCTGAAATACTGATTTAAATGAGTCTAGTAGTTTGGATGCGGGTGCTCTTCTCCTTGTTGTTTTTTATGCCTAGGTTACCTTATAAACATGTCTGGAAAGTTTCTGGGTTTTGCGGCTCTATCTGGTTGGAGGAGAAGGCTCTTCTCCTCCCAGCAGCAGCCGGGCTGCTGTTGCAGATTCATTTCTTTGCTCTTTGGTCAGTACAAGAGAAAATGCATGTTTTAAGATTTGTCTTTATCTTAAGAGGAATGCAGTGAGCCTTTACTGCAACTGTCTGCCTTTGATTTATGAAATGAGAAAAGCTTTATTTATAGGAAATACCTTGGAAACGTGTAATCCTTAGCATGAAGCACTGTATAGAAAAGCTGTTTGTGCTGTATAAGCCAAAAGGTTTTCTGAAAGCTTGGGGGAAAGCTCTGTTTATGTGTATGTATAAGCTTGATTAAAAAGGATTTTTAAACAAACTTGAAAATTATTTGTTCTTTTGCTATAAAGGCTGTTGAAATAGGTTGCCTGTAAAGGATTTTGTAAGAGGAGTCGTTTTGTTGCTGTTAGATAATGGCGCTTTTACTGAGATAGTGAAATTTGACTCGTTTTTATCAGTAGCTGGCGTCCATCCTCAAACTGAGCTGTGGGTGTCTGCAGGCTCCAGTGTTTTTCACCCCAGCGTCAGTGCTCAGTTTACAAACTTCATGGTCCTTGTGTTCCTTAAAACACTTCTTGCTCCGTTGCTCACCGCGACCACTTGTCTTTATTTCCCCACTACAATTAAGGGTTCGGCAGTAGTTGTTTTACTGTTGTGCCGTATTTTGAATTTTATCAAAAGAATTTTATTAGAGTTGCTTTATGAAAAACAAACTCTGTGTTTCTTACTTATCTTTACACTTCTGGTTTTGAAACTAGCCAGCAGAGCTACCAGTTTTATCTCCTGTTATATTTTCTACAAGTGAGTGAGGGAGGAAGAGTTGCTGTGGTTTGTAATTGGTGATGGAAGGAAGATTAAGGCTGTAGTTGCTAGTGTTGGCCTTTAAAAAGATAAAGATTTGCAGCCTGTGGTAATCGTGCTACTTTTGATTTTTAAGCGAATGCATACCAAGAATATAAAATGTATTTTAAAACAGGGTGCATCCAATGTCTCCTGCGCACCCAGCCACAGGCAATGCACTACTGCTGCTTGCAGGCTTTGTAAATCGGAGGAGCTCTTAAATATATGCTAGTTTCACCAGCAGGAGAACAGCAACACTTCTGTTTTGCTGCTTTAGTTGTGAACACTACACTCTACATTCAGGTAATGTTTGGAAGCTAGTTTTCAAAGTAAGCACATAGTTCCTAGCATGCCCTCCTTTTGGTGGAAGGAATGGGAAGACTTTAGCAAGCCACAGAAGTAATGAACTGTTGGTAAATCCTGACATCTGCACTCTTTTAAATTGAAGCTGCAATATATGTTTATAACAAAATACATTTCAGTTTCTCTGCTGAGAAAAAAATAATCTGCCACTTGTGATGTTGTACCTGAGAGTTACGATTAAAAAAAGTAAAAAATAAAGAATAGGTCTTTGTTACAGAGAGCGTTTTATTTTTGAAGATTTTTTTCCAAGCATACAATCAGGATGTGGAGCCTGTATCGGTAGTAGATCTTGAACGTGAAAGTTCTGTGGCACGTTCATTTTTTGCTGTCAAGAAGGTTTAATGTGCTTGCATTTTAGCTCACACCTTTTCCCTCAAATATTCTCCACATTAATTAGCAGTCTGAAATCGGAAGCATAATATTTATATTCTCTATCTAGCAACTGCACACAGCTATTTTATTATTATGGAAACAGCCCTGGGTGGAAGTGCCAGGAGGTTGCACTGGGTTGGCTCTCTGACTAGCAATGATCGTTCTGCATTCAGGTAGCTCTCTGGCCAGCGTCGCTTGGAGATTTAGACTTGTTATGTACTTAAATGTCTGTGTTCTTGCTTCCTTGCAGCAGCCCCTCGTGTTTTGCTCGCGGTTTGAACTTTCTATAAACACCGCCACATCTTCCACCCACTGGTGAAGAGGCAAAGTATTTAATTTCAGATTGGCTGCGAAACAGATATTTTATGCAAGCAATTTTAGTCTTAACCACTCTATGTGAAAGACTGGTAGCAATTTTCTGTGGTTAATTATGTCTAATTTTACTGCTTTCTTGTAACTTTCCTGCAATGTGAAAGATGCTTTTGTTTGACTTTGAAATTAAGATTCCTCACGCGTTTTAAACTGTTGTAACCAGGGTTTAGCACAGGATTAGCTGAGAGATTAAGGATCAATATTCTTCTTATAAAATTAAAAAGTAAAGGAATTATTAGTCTAATAAAATTAAAACACACACAAAATCCAGTACATACCTTTCTTCTGTATTCCTTGCTAGTCAAATGCTGGTGCTTTTATAATTCGTAATTTTACTATTTTTATTATTTCAGAAACCTTTTGTAGGAACTCAGAAATTACAGTAACTGTAGGCGTATGCATGAATATAGATCTGTCTACCTCTATATACAAAGAGGCCCACATCCCGTATCAAGTGGTTTCTATAAGTCACGGTTTTCTTTTTTTTAAAGTTAGAAATCACTGCTTGTAGATATGTTTTTGTTTTACCTTTTTAGAAAATTGCTTGGACAAATGCAGTTTCAATTCATGCATGTTACAATTTCAATGCAGTTACAATTTCAGCTCTTGAATCTTCCAGTTCATACCTCTGTTACAGAAAGGCAGGCTATAATATGCAAGAACTCAATGCCAAGGCATTTCATGAATAAATAAAATTGTTAATATTAATAAAGGGATACTAGTCCTCTGCAGCAAACAAACCCTACTGATGGCCTTTTTGAAATTAAATTTTAGCTTTTGTCTGCCTGTTGCTCAGGCAACTCTCAGAGATCTAACAGAGAAAAAACAAACTCATGCAGCCTTTCATTATTTATGGCTCAGTTTTATCTATATCTTAAAGATAGTAGTTAAACCATAACTTACTGGAAATCCCTCTCACGCTGAGTTTTTGGTTTTATCTTTTCCCCCAATTTCTATGATACTGGCATAGCCAATTTAAAACATTTAAAGAAGCTTTAGGAGTAAAGAGAAGAGTTTCCTGTGGAGCTGCTTCTGATAAGTTACTGAAGCAGTACTTTCATTAAGACTGGACATGTTAGAATATGAAAAAGTCGTGTTTGTTCTGTCATGACTAACCAGAAAGAAAATGTCCCAGTATATATTTGTATAAAAAAAAAAATCTGTTTTATTCCATATGAGCCAGACTAAGTGATAATCTGAGTCTTATCTACAATAAGTACACAGACAGATTGAAGGTGCCTTGATTTAACAGGTAAATTAACTCCTTGGGGCACTTTATGAACCTTGCCGTTTTCTCCAGAGCAGGAGAAAATCGGTTTCCCCGAAGCTGATGCTGCCAAACCTGTTGTTTGTGATTCTTTCCCAAAATAATCTCTGATTAGACAGATCTATATACATGCACTGCACTGCACTTAAACTACGGAGTTGATAAGATTAAGTGGCATCGATTCCTAGGAGCTTCTTCACAAACTGTTCACAGCTTAGTTCTTTTAGCCCAGAAACTCCTTCATGTCATGTTGCCTTCAAGAGAAGGCAGCTTGCCATTACTGTAATACCCAACGGAGCAGAAACCAACATTGTGCTGCTGTTATTAAGAATACCGATACAAGAGACAAGAACATAATTTTCCATGCACTTGCCCCTCTCCAATTTATATCATTTCTAAGTCCCAAGTGTTCTTTGAATGGGGAAGGAATCTGCACGGTGGATATGCTTTCTCCAAAGACATTACCCAAGTCAGTTGAAAAAAATATAGTGGAAAATAGATAGTTCTGTTTAGGTACAATTTTGGGAAGTTTAATTTAATGTGCTGGCCTGCCGACAGAAACGAAGGTGCTGTACTTACCAAATAATATTAGGAGAAGGGCAATGGGCATCACAAACAGACCCACCAGTAAATCCGCCGCTGCCAGGGACGTCAGGAAGTAGTTGGTGGCGTATTGCAACTTCTTCTCCAGAGACACCGCCAGGATAACAAGAATGTTTCCCCCAATGGTGGGGATTATCACCAGGAGGATCAGTAAAGCTGCCCAACGCACTTTGTTTCCTTGTTCATCATTGGGGTAGCTCTGCTTGGGCTCTCCCGTTACTGCGAGAGCCGACAGAGATCCATTGCCAGCTCCAGACCCGTTCAAGAGGTGTAAAGGATAGGACATTTTTGTGCCTGACAGAAGGTGTGCTGGAGTTGTATTTCGTGGAGAAATTGGGGCTGATGCAAGAATTTACTGCTCTTCTCTGATCCCAGATGGTCCTGAAGAAAGGCCAGCATGGTCAGTATGGTAAACTGGTCATCTGCTATTTTGAGATACACTAACCATGTGTCCAGAGCTTGTGTCCAGACTTTGAATCCTGGGACTTGCTGGGTGCAGCTAGATCTTAAAAATGAGAGTCTTGTCTGGTGTCCATGCCTGGCTGCTCGAGTCCAGTTACCCCTTTATAGGGAGGTTCAGGCTTCAGCATTCAATAGCTGTGAAAAGCAAGTTGTGCATCAGCTCCTGTTATTTTTCTACAGCAGGAAAAAAAAAGTGATAGAGTAATTTGAATGCCAAATGGTTTCCTTTAGACGTAGTGTATGTAGATTTGCTCTTTGTGAGCACAAAGTGATGCAAAGACAGATGCTCGCGCTGTGTATGTGCAACTCCTCCTCTGCTGAGTGTCTAGACTCCAGCAGTGTGTGCGTAGGCAGGCTGCAGTTCCTATATTTCCCCTTATTAAGAAGCCTATTTCCCCACAGGGAGTCACCCCCAAAATATCTTTGGAAGTGATATATGAGTTTTCTGTCTTAATGTCTACAGTTCCTAATTTGTCAGGTGAGGGTCAGGAAGCTGTGGACAATAAAACACTGGTGGGTGCCCCAAGGGAGCCATGAAGATTTATGGAACCGAGACATCTAAATTTACCCATTAATTGAAGGGGGGAGGGAGTGAGGGGAGGAGGTGAGTAAACTACTTGGTGTTTTTGTAATCCGAGCAAGGCTATTATTAAGCACAGTCTTTCTCTCCCTTTTCTCCTTCTCTCTGTCGGTCTCCTCTCTCTGTACTCTGCTGAACACTTAACACTTACATTTCCCCCTCCAAGCAGACGCTAAAACAGCTGTCGCTGCGCAAGCTGAGCGTTCACTTGCTGACTAGACTTGTTGCAATTTTCATGCAAAGAAAACCTTACCTTTTTCTCATGCATATTTGTAGAATTCACTTCGTATCCAAGAAGCGCGGTCTCTTTTTTTCATCACCTGGTAGATCCTCGGTTAGGATTTTTTTCTAGTGTCTAGCAAAAAAACTTTTCTTAAGTGTGTGTCTGTGTGTGCCTTTGTTTATTGCTTATTTTGCTTATAATATCAATCTTAAGGATTTCTATTTTGTGAAATAGCCATTTTCTCTAATTCTTGAATGAAGGAGAAGAATCATTCTTGTATGCTTAAAAAAAAAAAAAAAAAAACCTTGAGTTCTTGTCTGTTCTCTTTCCTCTTCCAGTATTTCCATGCGATGGGAGCGTTTCACGTCTCTGGGTCTGCATCTCAGTCTCCGTACACTTTTCTCTTTGTTTCTTAGCAAAACTTGCAGTCTGCTGCTTCTGTTGTTTGCTGATTGACTCATTCCAATGCATCCAGTTCCAGTACTTGAAAGCAAGGAAATAAATGAGTGATGGGGTTTGGCTGGAAAAGAGCCAGAGAGGGTTAATTTGTTCAGTGCTCTGGTTCTGTAATGTATGCCCAGTGTTGCTGCATCAGGATGTGCACATCCAGTAATGCTGCAATATTATAACTTTATTCACAATAGCGTGTGTGTGCGCGTGTTCGTTCTCTCTCTCTGGGCAGAAGCACAGTTAACCCTAAAAAGTTATGCTGTACTGCAAACGCTCTAGTTCTAATGTTGACTTATTTTAGAAATGCAAGTTTATAAGCATATGCTTATAAAATAAGTGAGCACACTATTTAAGTGTGCAGACTGTTCCTTTAAATCTTTCTACATGCAGCTGCTTTTTATTATCGCGAGTGTTGTCTTTTGTTGCCTTCCAAATCTCAGTAAAGTGTGTGTGCAGTCACAAACGGCATCATATATTTCTGCATTAAAATGGAAATCGAATTCACTTCCAAGGACATACGCAGCTGGACAAGTCTGCAATAGACTTATTGAACTTAAGGCCAGAAGAGACCATGAGATCGGGGTCTGACCCCCTGGGTGTCACAGGCCATTACATTCCATGAATTGCTAAATGCGCCCCAGGTTTGATTTGGGAATCGGGTTCTCAGTGAACTGTGCATCAGTTTATGTGTGTTTCTAAAGACATGAATATATATTTTTTTAATACACTTACTTTGGGGCCAAAAAGAAAAAGCTGCCGCCAGCAGTTAGGAGATGTTTTTGTCTTCATGTGTTTCCAGAATTGAATTTCCAGCAAAGTAGGTGTTACTTGTTCTATGTGGTTTTTTTTGTTTGTTTGTTTTTGGTTTTGTTTTTTTTTGTTTTGTTTTGGTTTTTGTTTTTTACAATTTGAAGGAAACCTTAGAATTCCTTTGCAATTGTCTTTGCTGTCTTTGTTTAGCAAGTTACATTTCTGGGAAGTAGAAATCAATCTAGCTATAGTAATTGTTTCTTTACCATCTGACCTTCTCCACGCTCTGACGGTACTGTGAGCCTAGAGCACACGAATATTTAGAAAAAGCAGAAATCAAGACAATACTATATCAAACTGATGAGTATTTGGATTCAGTTTTCCTGAAGCTCAACTGTCTAATCAACTTGTGTTTTATTTTATAAATCTTGAAGAATCTCTGGCATTAATCTAGCTCTACTGAAGTTTGTGCCAAAGTTTCCACTGGCCTAAGCACAGCCAGCTTTCACCCCTTCTGACCGTATAGATCTATCTTTTTTTTTTTTTCCTTTATCATTGATGCTTTCGTTATTTCTTTTTTCCTTGTTGAAAGGAGGCTGGAGTTGCCATCACTTTCTAGTGATGGAATTACTGGCAGTATGTCTGAATCGGCAGTATTTCTGAATGACGAATGGAAAAAAAAGTCACGGAACGAAGCTGCGAAAGCAGAGAATGGATTCATCCTTTGACTTTAGCAGCCCATTTGTGGGTATACATGAAGTGCAGATCTGCGTGTCACATCTCTGAATTTAAAGACCAGAATGGAAACCCCTGGGGAAAAAAATTAGACAAAGCACCATTAAAAATTTCTGCTAATCATCAACATCAGTTACTGAAATGAGCCTGTGCTGAACCTGAAGGATTATCTTGATAGCGGTTATTACTTCTTATTTGTCACTTCTTGGCACTCTTTTTGGCCTTTCACAGCACAGTAGATACTAACCTTGAATCACTGTAGTGATGGGAAATATTGGAGATAGAGAAACGTCATTTTGTGAACCTGTATTACCTCTTCATAAATTTTTTTTATGCAACTTAAGCATCTGAGAAGCATCTCTGTTGGCTAGCACAGCAATGAAACACTTTTATCGAAGGGGAAAATCAAGTATTCCTGCTTTAGGGGAATACCTCTGTGGAGGTTGGGATGTACTTTATATCAGGAAAACATCTCCTTAGCTGCTAGAATGCAGTTACTTCCAAGCTTTGCTGAGAGATGTTTTTCTTATATCCTATTCCATGTGTTCGTAGCTGTTTTGTAAATAAAAAAGTGGTGTGTCTGTGTGTGTGCGTGCACCTTGAGGACACACCTGGTAAAGACTGCACATATCTAAGTGAAAAAGAGATGCTTTATTTTTTAATAGAGGGGAAAGAAAGCTTCTTTCTTCATCACCCAGAAAATGATGGTATGAGTTTAGGTGTACGCAGGCTTATATAGCAGCTATACTTAATTGTTTGCGTTGTGGATGTTTCAGGTGGCCCAAACTTGTCTGCCTTTGGTGATATATTTTGAACAACCCCAGATTTGAATTATTTCTAAGAAACACACAAATATATCATATCTCTAGCATCTTCTTAGCTGCATGCTTCCAGTCAGGCTTTTTTGGCAACCTATTGCCCAGCCACCAGGTCCAGCTCCTTTCCTCTATTTCTCAGCACTAAAACGTGTCTGGCATGACCTCACTTCTTCTCCAATGCACCTTGAATATTTGTACCATGCAGATAGAGGGAAAAAAACAAACAAACAAACCTCTCTGTAATTTTTGTTTTCAAATCTCCAATCCTATTTTATTTGAATGAGGCTCTGGTTACATTATACGTGAGCTCTCACTGATGATAGCGTTGTTCAGTGAGGTACATATTCCTCAAATTTGTATGCTGCATCCTGGTATTCCCTGCTCGCCTTCATCTCCCTAGCTGTGGGAGACCTCCTGGAAGTTCTTGTTCTTCAGCAGGTCTTGCTTCTGCAACCAGGAGGCGTTTGGGAGAAAAACGTTCTGGAGAATGAGGCTGTGCTGCACGTGAGAGTTGCAGGAGATTCCTGGCATGGGAATAGCTTGGATCCCTTTTGCTGAAAGAGAGAAAGGCAGGAGGTTTGCACCATACTTAATTTGCACAAAAATGTGTCTGTTTGTTGCATTTCTCCTTGCACTTCTTCCATCTTGTGTGTTCTTCCCCCTCCATTTAGAAATGCCTTCAAATGATGTGATGAGATGCTTGCATTCCTCCTTTCTTAACTCATTCAGGGATAAAATGAAACCTTTATTAAGCTTTTTTTTAATATGTCACTGTAGTAGCAAAGCAACGTGTAGAAAAAGTTCAGTATGGAATGATTAATTCATGTCCAATAGTTTAGAAAGCCATAAATATTTAAAATCTTTTGAAATACGAGTAGAGAGACTTAACGAGGAATTTAAAAGATATACTTGACATTGTTCTTTAATTCTCTGACGTTTCATTTTTCACTGAGTTGTAAAGTCCTTAAATATTTAGACTAAAAAATAAGTATGTTAGTGATGCCTCAGACATCTCCATTTTTAGTCTAAAACTTAAGAGCAGCATGAATGTTTATTTTCAGTGTTCTGTTTATTTACCTATTGATGTTACCTTTTTTACATCTACACGTTTTACTGAAATACAGAGAGGGCAACAGTCATCCAGCCTTTGAGATGTATGATACCGAATATCAAAGATAAACTGCACAAAGATACTTGGATGTGATTAAGTGGGCTGTGATCTGAGGAACTAAGTGGAGTGTGCTTCGAGTTATGGCAGCCCAGCTTTTAAATTGTTTTTCTTAATATTTTTGCATGCTTTTTGGAGAA